GATATTGTTCACACTTGAAAATCCATCAACATAATATGCCACATTGGCAGAATAAATTAGAAAAGCCATATGAATGTCTCAGTAAGTGTGGAAAAAGCATTTGACCAAATTCAACATCCATTCATGAAAAAAAAAGCCCTTAGAAAACTAGGAATAGAAGGAAACATCTTCAGTACATGTAAGTACATGTAAAGTGATCGTCCATTTGCAGTGTTCTTGATTTAGGTTGATACACTGTCTGTGAGTTCTAAATCTAGAAGCCTGTCTTCTTTGATTAGTCTGAGTCTTTCTTGCCCACTTTAGCATCCAGTCTGTCACTGAGTGCTGTTGGTTTTGTTCAATATCATTCAAGTCCGTTTGCTCTTTTCCATTCCTGTTGTCACTGTTTTCATTGTGGTCCTCATGATGTTCTAGCGAGGTAATTTATTACATGTTCCTTGTTTCCTGAATTGACCAAAGCATTTCCCCATGTCCAATACGTCTCCCAACCTCTGATGCCTCCCTTTGTCCCGCTGTCCCTGATTTTGGACACATGAGGCATAGGGTTGAATAGATCACATTCTTCAATTCAAGGGTCATTGTCATCACTGCTTCATGTAAGGTCCATCCCGCCCTCCATTTGATATTCATCTATTCACTTATTTCCACTTATCCTCATTCCGTGCTGCTCTTCTTTCCCATAAACAGCCATTTTAAATGTGTTTAATGCATTATTTTTATGTGTATATGCTCAATTAAATGTTACATGTACATGGATTTTTAATGTACATAAGTAGAATTGTTATAGAACTCTTTGTTTACTTATTCCTTGCACAACTGTTTTTAAGAGTTACCTGTGATGCTAAGTGAACATTTAGTCTGTTGCTATTAAAACTTCCATTGTGTATATCCACCACATTTTGTTTATCCAGTTCTTCAGTGATGGACACTGGGGCTTTCTCCAACTTTGAAACACCATAAATAATGAATTGTTTCATAGTTTGTTAGGATCAGGAGGGCAGGTACAGCTGGTGTGGTGCCTCTGACTGAGATACCTCTTGAGGTTGTAGTTAAGCTTATTGCTGGGGCTGTGGCCTCATCAGAAGCCTCAGCTAGGGAGGGGGAGACCTCCTTTCTTGATTTCTCACTTGCTGTCGCCAGGATTCGGTTCCTCTAGAGAAATTGGACTAAGGGCCTCAGTTCTTCACTGGCTGTTGACTGGAGTCCTCCCTTAGTTCTTTGCCAGGTAGACTTAGCCATGTGTCAGCTCACCACAAGGTGGCTGGTTTCCCCCACATAAAGGAAAAAAAAAAAAAAAGAGCAAGAGAGGGTACCCAGTACAAGCTATAGTAGCTTTGTAAGTTAATCTCCCCTTGAAAGTGGTTAGAAGTGAGTTATTAGATTCAGCCTACACTCAAGGGGAGCCAGTACATAAGGGCATATGAATAGCAGGAAGCAGGGATTATTGGGGGTTGTTTTAGAGTTTGCCCACCACAGTCCTCTGACAGGTGCTATGATTTTTAATTTGGCATATATACATATTTGGGACATGGGTTGCTTTCTAAAGATGACTTCTCTGGTTAATATTTTTATCAGGAGTACATGAGACTTTGTTTTCTACAGCATAAAGGGATATCACATTGTCTTAAACTTTTTACATATTTTGTTCTTATTTCCTAATGGCAGTCTTGCCTTTTTCTTGGCCATTTGCAGGAGTTGCTGGCAATATTCTAGATATTAGTTTCTTATTCTTCCTCTCTGTATCATCTGCCTGTTGCCTTTGTCCAGTGTTTCATTTGTTGAGCAAAAATCCTCAGTTTTGATGTGATAAAGTGTATTTTTTGGTTTTAAGGTTTCTGCTCTTAGGCTTTTATTTAAGAAGTCCCTTCTTGTCCCTCTGTTAGAAACTTATCGTACGTTTTCTTGTGTTAACTTTAGCTTTACCGTTCACATCCAAGTCTTTAATCTATCTATAGTAGGTCTTTGACAGGGATCCATCATTGTTTTCTTTGTGAAATGAGCCAGTCTTCTGTCCAATCTCTTCTGTCCTCATTGATTTGTGTATCCATCTTTACTGTCTGTTGTTTATGTCTACACCAGAGGTGTGAGCCATACATTTGGATCTTAGGTGGATTTCATTCATTTGTCTCTTTTTTTGCATGTGCAAATACCATGCTGTTTTTATTGTTACAGCTGCGTAGCATGGCTTGATACCTGGTAGTAAAAGGCCCTCTCTTCACTCTTCATTTTCAAGGTTGACTTAGCCATGTTTACTCTTCCATAAAAAGTTTAGAGTCCATTTAGGACATCCCTGAAAAAGTTCCTGCATTGACTGTAAGACTAATTTGTGTAATTTCTTCAACAGTTTGTGAAGAATTGTTATCTTCATGGTATTAAGTCATTCCATCAGATCGTCCTTTGTGTACTTTATTCCTGTTTTACTGCTATTAATGGATGCTGGTCAGAAAAATGAATAGAGGATACCCTCTCCGTCACTAGCATTCTGGGTTCATGAAATTCCCTTTACATTTTTCTTGCAATGAGTGTTCTTTTGTATTGTGATCAGGTATTACATGACCTCAACCCATTTCTCCCCTTTTTGCTATTCCAAGCTACGAATGCTGATGCATCTATTCAGGAAGCCCCAATCAGTTCCAATAAAAATCAGAGCACTAAAGATCCCTCTGTTTCTGTATCCATTTATCCATGGAGTGACTGTTATGTACTGGAGTTGCGAATACAAATAACTACAAACTGAAAGGATCCCTTGCTAGAATCTCACGTGTTCTAGTAAGAAAGAGACTTGTCTGCAAATAACTGCGCACCAGTCATGCTTTAGGGCTTAACTTAATGTCACTATTTTAGAAGAGCTTTAAAACTAGAATCCCCTTTAATCCTTTCACATTGTTACTTGCTCTTTTTCTTTATGGCCCTTTCTGATGTAATTATTTCTTGAGTTCTCTTTTCTCCACTAAATTGTATGGTCCGTAAAAGCAGGAGTCTTCTCTATTTGTTGGTGGATGTGTCTCCAATATGTGGCATTATGCCTGTCTAGACACAGTAAGAATACGTTTTTTGTAAATATTTGTTGCATGATGCATGAACCGGAATACAGCGTAATAAAAGATCTGCTGGAACTTTTACCCATAGACCCGTGGGAGCACATAAGAGAGATCGCTTAGTGCTGTTTAGGAATTTGGGGGGAAGGGATTTTTCAGCTTGTTAGGAAACTTGGTGTTATGTTGAGTCAGTATTCTTATGTGCTGTCAACTTTCCCTACCTCCCAACATCAAACCCTCCACCCTTCACTCCTGTAGCTTTAACAGAATTCTGTGGGAAGAAAGGAGGATCCAAAGCTAAATACTTCTCCTCTTGTAAGTTGTTTGGCCCAATTAATTTTGAAGGAGAACTACTCTGTGTTGTAAATATACACTCTTTCCTCAAGGTTGTCAGACTTTGTATTTATTAATAGGCACGGTCTTAGCTTTAACAAAGTAAAACTATTTCTTTGTGAATCTGGCACCTAGAGTGAGATGTAAAACTATAAACCACTGCAGCTGATTCTTTATAATTGATGTCATAACTGAATATATTAGCAAATGTCTCAGAGGTGACCACCTATGTAGATAGGCGCTACCCTGTAGCAAGATATTTTGTTTTTCAGGATTTGGCTTTAAGCCCTGACTCAACTAAAAATTTAGCCAGTTGACTGTAGGGTATGGATTCCTGACAGGCATGGGCTATATGAATAAATGATTACTGGGATGCAAAATCTTCTGGGTTCTGAACAGCCAAACCACCATTAATGAATCATAATGTGACACATCAGCCTTGTCTTTCATTCAGTTCTAGAAATAAGAACAAATAAAAGAATTGCATTTTACAATGGCAATTACAGAAATTTCAGGAAAGATAATTATTCTCTAATACTTAAAAAGTGAGATTTCTGATTAGAACTGAGATTTACCCATTATATAATAACATAAATTGCATGGACCTCTTGTGTTTTGTTTTATACACTTTGCTTTTAAAATTTGCATTTCTGTCAGCAATGACTCCTTAAAATATCTGGGAGAATTTAAGCATGCCCAATTCTAGAATTGAGTCATGTGTAATTTGTTTAATGAGCCTCATTTAAGTAGGTGATAAGTGGTTTTTTTGTTTGTTTGATTGTTTTTTTGTTTTTGACTTACCATGAACATTTCAGTTCTGTCAAAAATTTTTGATATTTAGCACTGTTACCCTCTTTGCTGTGTTGTTGAGGTCTCCACTTTCCTGATCTGTTACTGTTCCCCATGATCATCACGTTTAAACTTTTGCAGTAACTGAAGATTACTTGATGCATTTATTCCTGTTTGTGCTTCCTCCTCAGCCAAAACTTTGTTTCCTTTTTATTTGATCTAAGACTTATTTCTAAAGAGGGTTAATGATCTCGGGAGGACAGGAGTGGTCCTTCATAATAGAAACATGCTTAATAAAACAGTGATAATTTGTTCACTGTCCATATTTTGCTGAACATGCAGCGTTGGCCTTAAGGCAGCAGACGATAGAGATGGAGGGTGTAGGGCACACCATTGTTCTACTTGTTATGTGATTATCAACACGAAAAGACATTGTTTTCTTCCTCGCACTGTGCTTCTCCTAATTTTGACAATCTGAATGTTCGTTTCAGCATTATAACTAAACAGGTAAGAGCCTAAGTATTTAGGGTTTATCTTCAAAGCAGAACATTGCTGGTAACTGTTTCCATTATGCACTAATAGACTTGTCATTCAGCAGGAGATTGGAACTGGAAAATAGGAAAGTAATGGGATGCCCAACCCAGTACAAAAGCTAATGGTGGGGGAAAAGCTTTCATATTTTTGCCTGACTTAATTTTTGTTAAACATGTTAATATTTCTTTGTAACCTAGAAACATATTGAGTATTTAGATTGAGTTTTTAAATGTATAGTTTATTTAGAAAAGAGCAGTTCTAATCTTGCAAAGTGACCATTATTCTGTTTGCTTTCTGTTTCTGCAGAGATATTACATACGACATCTCAGTAGAAGCGGTGTCAACGATGGTGGTTTTCCTCTCTTGCCAGCTCTTCCACAAAGAAGTTTTGCGACAGAGCATCAGTCACAAGTATTTGATGCGAGGTCGATGGTATGTTTCTATTTTACATTTTTCTACCTTTGTTTTAATTGTACAAATCTCTATTTCTGGTCCTGTTCCCTAACCTTACTATTGTCCAAGATGTCCCGCCGAACGCTTCCTTCGGTCATTCTGTCCACACTCCAAACCCCACGCATAAGTAACCCAATTCTGCTTTCCTGTTTAAACTGCCCATCCTCCCCACCCCTTACATTCCCCAGCTTTTAACCTTCTCGAGTAGTTTCTCTGTCGAAGTGAAATTTTGAAGTCCTCCTCCTCCTTCCTTCTGCATCATTCTCTGCATGTAAGCACCCGTCAGTCACGTCTGTCCGCTGAAGTTGTTTTCAGTTTCCCCCCCTCTCACTAGTCCCGTTGAAACCACCATCATGTCTGCCCGGTCACCCTGTGTCTCCAGCAGCCTCTGAGCTGATGGTTCCTACTTTCACATGGTCACAAATATTTATTGTGTGGCAGCCATGTGCCAGGCATGTGTTAGGATGGGGCGTCTATTCTTGAGCGGAAGCTGTAAGTTTACTGTCTCCTAATGGGGAGCTGGGAGCAGCTACAGAATACACACACACACACACACACACGCACGCACGCACACCACACACACACCTTCTATTGACACAGTTTTCATAGAACTTGAGAGTGTAAAGCAGGTGCAAACCAAGTAGCTTTGATGGACGATCTCAGAGAGTGGGAACTCTGTCACACCTCTCTCCCACTCCTCTCTCCACACTCCTCTCATCCCATTACTTAAAGGCAAAGAGTGTGTTAATATTTAAACAACCTCTATACATATATATCTTCTGTATGCATGCATAAATTTAATGATTTCATATGTGAAATGTATAGTCTTCTATATTACTGCTTTTTAAATTCTTGCTTTGCCCTGCTGATTCTGTTACCATCTCCCTTCAAGCACCAGGTACTGTCTAATACCCTGAATTACTACTGTCTCACCTGTCATACAGATTACCAGTAAGGTAACTGAAGCTCAAGAGTTGAAGTGATTTGACCAGCAACTATGGCATAGAAACAGGAGAGCCAGCCAGACTTCAGCCTCAAGTCTGATCTCAAAGCCCACGATCCTCACCATTGTGTGACAGTTCCTTTCAATTGTGTTAATCCCTTTAATAGTAATAGATTCTAAAGACTCTGTCCTAAAGGTCATCATACAGAATCAGGTGACTTCCATGAGTTTGATTTTCTTCTTTTTTCTTTTTGTGTAGTCTTCCATATACCAGCAAACTTGTGAAAACCCTATTGTATAACTTTATCAGACAAGAAAAGCCACCCCCTCCGGGAGCACACGTTCTCTCACAGCAATCTGATGGCGGGGGACTGCTGTATGGACTTGCGTCCGGAGTAGCAAGTAAGTCTGATCAACTTTTGTCGGTTCTTTGGTGTAGATAGAGTTTGTATAAAATTAGGCGTAAGATACTCCGTTCCCTTGGCCGCTGCTGCCGATGGTTACATTGGCCCCATGCAGTGGCTGAATGCGAAATACTGAAAGTCACTGAAAATATTTTGTTCATTTAGTGTAGTGATTAATGCAATGAAATGTATGCAAATAATGAATAGATTGTCTACCTATAAAACACCACTTTTCAAGAATAATGTTTATAATACGCGTACTGCATGCATTATGCAGTTATGCGCTTGGGAACTTTTCTCTGCTGTGCTTTATGAGGAAACTCTGCTCTTTTATAGGCTTTATTGGTTAGGATTTTACATGACTAATTAGGTGTAGTTTTCTTGTTAGACTCACTGTTTCATTCATTCAGTGACAGATTAGCACATTTTGAAGAATTTTGTATTAACTTCTGGAATGGGCACAAACACGGGTTTCATCAGATTGGGAGCAGATTCCTGAACCGAAGGAAATCCTTCCCTCCCTGACGGTAAAGCCTCATTCCTGGCTCCTGGTGTTGGGCATGCAGACACCAGAAGTGGCAGGAGTGGCTCTGGTTCTGTCGTTAGCGTGGCGGGCCCGTGTCACGTGAAGGCACGGAATCCGACCTTCGGCTTTATTCCGAAGGAGAATCGGAAAGCAGACTGGCGCTGCGGCAGCCGTGAGGCCAACAGGGGGCTCGTACCGCAGCAGCAGCAGGAGCGGTGCTTGCGGAGCGCGGAGTGTGGCTGTGAGGAGCTCCACGTGGAGCCCGGTGCCACGGCCGAGTAGTGTCTGCGCTGTGCCCGGGGCGGCAGTTTGATGTCGAAATGCGGTGCTGCTTGATGATGTGCTAGGTAATGAGTCTTGGGAACGTCTTTGGGTTAAAAGACCTCTGTTGACTTGCGGAACTGATCTGGGGGGCAGGCTTTCCAGATTTGCCTTCCTTTGATTTCTTGTGACACTGTGGTTGAATTACATTTGTGGTCCCTGTAGCTTTGCCTTGGGTGCTGAGCAGGCTGCCTGGACTGCCAGCCCCGCCGAGGTTCGTGCTCTGCTTTGCTCCTACCCTCTACCCTTGTTGTCTCGGGGGGGGGGGAGGCGTTCATGGCTTCCGAAGGCAGCATGGCACTGGCTTCTCGTGTTTTCCTTTTTTGATCATTAAACTGGTATAATATATCAAAGCGAGTATTTTCCGGTACTTCAGTATGGTTGGGGATTTGGGAGAGGAGATAGTGTAAGTTCATTAACTGTTTTCTTCGAAACAGTGGCAATACTTTGCGCTTTTTTTTTTTTTATGGGCAAACATAGATTTGTGTGCAGTGTTCGGTTTTTCTTGGAGTTCTGTGTCATCAGAAGAATGTCCAGTATGGTAACACGGTGTCATCAGTACCAAGTGCCAAAAAACTTTTAAACTTAGAGCCGTTCCTACCTAGTTAGCAGTGTATCAGAAGGAAGTCTGTTAATTTTCCTAGCTTTCAATTTTTCTGTCTATTGAATGAGAAGGTCAGAATAGATTCTCTCTGAGATTCTTTCCATATAACTTTCAATGAGTGGTTCTATGGCTTTTCTTCCCACCACTAAAAATTTAATACTCGGAGTCAGAGGGAGAGGTGACAGTGAAAAAAATTTATTATGCAGTTAAGGGCATTAAAATGGACGTATGATTTTTAGTGTGCTGTAGTCACAGGATATTTTATGTACCTCCTTACGTCTTCATAAAATTAGTCATATAAAGGTATAAATCATGATGGAATGATTATTCATTATTTCACAGTTTGTGACTCAAAGGATTATAAAAAACAGCAAAAGGATGTTCTCTTCCTAAAAAGTATAGCTATTTATTGTGGGCAAAAAGGATAAGACAGGAAAAGTAGTCATGTAATTTTGAATTAAGCCACATTCCATGAAAGTCAGGTTGACAAGGATATTTGACTTCAGTTGTGTGATCACTTTTGAAGATCTTTTGGTTGCTAGTTAAGGAATTTTCTTACTTTTTTTTTTCAAGTTTATTTGAGAGAGACACAGAGAGAGAGAGAAAGTAGGGGAAGGGCAGAGAGAGAATCCTAAGCAGTCCTGCACCATCAGTGCAGAGCCCGATGCAGGCTCAAACTCACAAACCAAGAGATCATGACCTGAGCCAAAGATGGGTGTTTAACTGACTGAGCCACCCAGGCAACCCAGGAATTTTCTTGCTTTACTATTGGATATTGGCTTAAGGAAAATATGATTTGGAAGCTCCTCACTGAAAAAAAAAATTCCAAGGCCAAATATAAATAATAAACTCTTTTGGATGATACTTATCTTCATTGGGACTGAGTTTTTCTGATTATAGAAAGCATTTCCTTTCACACCAGAGTAAGTATCGTTGGTGTTGCTTGAATAAATTTCTTTGAAACCGAGTGCCTTATTTTGGAAAACTTTATGGCTTTGGATAGTGCCGTTTTTTGGCACTGGCAGGAAAGAGGAGCTTGCTCATGCTAGGTGAGTGGTGAACCACACATCTGGACCCTCACAGAGTTAGGCAAGGCCTCTGGTTTATTCTCACTTTTTCAGATTTATTTTTAGTTATTTTGCTGCTGTATTTGTTTCCCAGACTCTAGCCAAAACTCTTTTACTCTTTACGTGCCTTATGCTTTCTCCCTTTCATGTCTTTTCTCGGATTATCTCTTTCACCTATGATCCTAATTCTTCCTCTCTGACTTTTTTCTGCCCGTCCATCCATTAAGGGCTATCTCAGGTACCACCTTCTCTGTGAAGACTTCTTGTTCTCTCCTAGCCAGAGGTTATCTTTTCCTGTGGCATACTTAGCACTCTGCTTTGTATTATGATTGCTACATACAAACATCACTCTCCATACTTGAGCTCTACACACAGTCCACTTATCAACTTCAGTAAATTCAATATTCAATCACCCTTACAAACAAATGTTTATTTCTTTGTCAGTAAAACTAAAGAAATGGAGATTTCCTATGTGTATTGAAATCTACTTTATTGATACAGTATCATTGGCTTGTACCTAAATTGAATTTTTACAATTAGGTGTTCTTGTAACTACACTGGTAACAACTTATCTATCTCAGACTAACTGCTCCATGATGCAGCACACGCTCTTCTTTCTGTTTATTATTGGTCCTGCAATATGCAGTGGGTGTTTGGATGATCTTTGAAAAGAAGGTAATAAAGAAATGGAGGAAATATTACTATCTTTTAATGACCACTAGTAGGTTTTTTTTCATAGTTAATGAGAGTAATGAAAATTACTTGTATGGATTTTTTTTTTTACGTTTTATTTATTTTTGAGAGAGAGATAGAGACAGCGTGACCAGGGGAGGGTCAGAGAGAGAGGGAGACACAGAATCTGATGCAGGCTCCAGGCTCTGAGCTAGCTGTCAGCACAGAGCCCGATGCGGAGCTCAAATCCACGAACTGCGAGACCATGACGTGGGCCGAAGTCGGATGCTCAACTGATTGAGCCACCCAGGCGCCCACTTGTATGGATTTTGTTCTTTTTTAAAAAATTGTTTTCACGTATGTCAAGTGTGCTTTCTTTCCCTGGAAGTGGTTAGAATCAACGGTACATTAATAGATTACCTGAGAGCACCTGTGATACATGCCAACAAGCCTCTTCATAACTTTGCAGTACAAGAAAAAATTGTTTCCTTCTTCTTTCCAGCTTTTTAGTTTAGAGATTTCTCTAAAATGCTGACAAAATGGAAAAAGAACCAACTGATACATCACTTCACTGTTTCGGAAAGAGTGCTAGAATTTTAATCAATGTATTTTTTAATGAAGCCTGGAATTCCAAGATTAGGAGAAATAAGGATAAAGGTCATCTAGTGGCTTCTCAACATTAGCAACCCATCTGGTATAATTAAAAAAAATGAGTGCAGATGAAACTTACACCTTTTCATTTCTAACTCCTTTACATATATGCTTGGGCACAGTCATATACATTTTCAATAAGCATTCTAGATGATTCTGATATAGCTGGTCCATTTCAGCACCACTCACTTGGTCTGAGTCCATTTGGACTCAGTCCCTTGGCTCTGTTTTGCTGTGGGCCCTTCATTGCACAGTTGAGCTGATACTGTCACCTACTGAGGAGTGTAGTGTTGGGAGGCAGCTCGGATGGTTTTAACTGACCTTCTCCTCCTGTGTTGTCTTGGTTTCTCTTCTTGTTGTTGTTTTCTGTTGCTGATGAGGTTCATTGTATCAGTTTTTCCTGAGGTGTAACCATTGGTACAGTACTCCAGCACCAAATAGATTGGGGTATAGACTCCCTGATTTTGGACACTGCGGGATTTTTTTTGTTTTTTGTTCTTTATTAATCTAGACTAAATGCTCCTTAACTGTTTTGGCAGATAATATTCGGTTATTAATGAGTTTTTGTTAGTTTGATCTCTGTCTTTTCTGTACCTGTAACTTTTATGTCCTGCCTTTCCCCTCTAGGTTTTATACATGTAATGTTCAGTGTATCTCAGATTCAGTTTTGTTAGTTATGGTATGATCCATAATTATAGCTAAAGGTAATTATCTGTGCTCATTTTCAGCCCTGGCTTATCCTTAAACAAATATTTTGGGGCTTCCTCCTTTACTCATGGTTCTGTCCTTGGCACCATCTTGAAAGCAGATTGACTCATTCTCATTCCTTTGTGGAAGCAGGGTATTTCTGTAGGTAGCACATGTGAAATAACAAAGAAAATTAGTGTATCGAGGCATTTTATGACTTTTCTATGGAGACTCGATTTCCTTTCCTGGAATCCCAGTGAGGATTAGCTGGGGTGGGGTGGGGGTGGGGACAAGAGCCTGGTTTTCCCAGGCAGCAGGTCTCAGAGTTGATGAGGATTCCCAGAGTTTCTCCTGACTTTCAGGGCTTACCCACAAGGGTCTTCATGAGGCTGGAGCTGGTAGTCCTCTAGCGGCAGGAGGTGTAGCCAGGCCTCCTGTGAGTTCACACCAGCGTCTTCCCCTCCCCACAT